CAGCATCATCATCATCGTCGCCGTCATCACCATCATCAACCCCAGCATCAGAAGTGCAATCTCATTCACCATCACAACGAGCTTTGCTGTCACCATCACAAGCATGAGCACAGTCATGGTTATGGTCATCGTAAGCATTACGGAAGTAGTTTCTAGAACCCATCCAACCCCATCGTCATGGTCGCACGCGAATTCACCGTCACGGCGTCGGAGCCGCCCCCAACGAACAGAGACCTCGCAATCAGCCGCCAATCAAAGCACGAGCATTGTCATCAGTCATCATCGTCTTATTTCTCGCCCCATCGTCGTCGTCAACAGCATCATCACACTTGAGTTCCTGCCTCCTCCTCCTACTGCCATCGTCCTCCTCCTAAGCACTCTCTTCCTCCGTCATCAGCAGCAGTACCGTACCGTCGGCCTGCCGAGCAGTCGCAACATGGTAGATGATACCCCGTCCTCGTATGCAAACTCCAAGCCCACGCAAGGCACGGCCGTCGGCAATGATGCCGGCATCTTCAGCGACTGCGTCACCGATGTCTGCAGAGGGGGTGTGGCTTGGCGAGAGCTTTGGGCCTTGGGTTTAGGGTTCGGGGTGTATGTATCACGGTTTACAGTATGGTAGTGCAGGGTTCATTGACTGGGGTTTTGGGGGGTTGTCGGATCCCAGTAGATGTTCAGCAAATAAGGGGCTTCAATCTAGGCCACAAGTAATGGGGTCCTTATATATTGACTCTTAGAACCCCTCACGCCTAGCCCCTAAACCCTAAACCCTAAACCCCTAAACCCCTAAACCCCTACACCCTAAACCCCGAAACCCTAAAGCCTAATCCCTAAACCCACAGCCGTCGTAAGCATCCTCCAAGGAGGAGTTCGCTGTCGCCGCGAAGGAGCTGCTGGCGGCATACAATGACTGGACTGACTAGGCTCGACGAGCGCGAGGAGATATTCTAGCGGGCTTTTGGGGGGTTTCAAGGCTTTGGGGGTTTAGGGGGGTTTAGTGGGGGTTTGGGGAGTGTTTAGGGGTTTTAGGGGTTTTAAGGGTTTTAGGGGTTCTAGGGGTTTTAGGGGTTTCAAGGGTTTTAGGGGCTTTGTGGGGCCTCTCTGATTCAGGGCAAGGCTTGGGGATCCCTGTTTCAAGTTCTTTCTTCTATTGGAGAGGTATTTTTGAGCGATCCTAAAGGGATGCTAAGCCCTACTCTCTAAGCCCCAAACCCTAACCCTCGAGCTCTAAACCCTAAACCCTAAACCCCACACGCTAAACCCTAAACCTTGAACTCTAAACTCTAAGCGCTAAACCCTGGCAGGGAGTCAGGCTTGGACCCCAAACCCTAAACCCTAAACCCCAAACCCTAAACCCTAAACCCTAAACCCTCCTCCACATCGGATCCCAGAACTGAAGGCAGCCTGGCAGGCCCTGTGGTTCGGGTTTCAGGGTTCATACAAGGTTTAGGGTTGAGGGTTTAGCTTTATAGGGTTTAGGTTTCCGGGTTGAGGGTTTAGGTTTATGGGGTTTAGGTTTCAGGGTTGAGGGTTTAGGTTTCAGGCTTTAGCATTGAGTGTTGAGTGTTTAGGGCTTGAGATTTTACGAGTTTCGCTTTTTCAGGATTTTCCGGATTGGAGGTTCAGTGTTTCGGGGATCTGCGGGTTTAGGGTTTAGGGTTCTTCCAACACCTTTGAACAAGACTGCAAGCAGGTTCGGGTTTAGGGTTGAGGGGGGATTCCATTCCGAGAGCGCTAAACCCCAAACCGTTCGAAGCCCTACGCAACCGCAGAGCCCACCGGAGCCTTGATCTCTAGTCTTCCTTACTATAATTGTAGTATCATGGGCCCCCAAACCCCCCTAAACCCTAAACCCTAAACCCTAAACCCTAAACCCTTTAAACCCATGCGCCGCCTGTTGCAGGCCCAGCCCATGCAGGATCCTTGAGGCATCTTCCGAAGGAAGGCAATCGCCTCTTGCTGTAAGATAGGGGCCTTAATAATTATTAAGGGGTTTGGGGCATACTATATACAGCTCTAACAAGGAAGCCCCAAAACCCTATTCTAATGATTATGAAGGGTTTTGGGGCATATTATATATAGCTCTAATAAGGAACCCCAATACCCTATTCTAACTATTAAGGCCCCTGCATTAACTTCCACTGTCGCCATGGCTGCCCAGGGTGGCCTTGGAAGGTTTTAAATGCCCGCAGCGCAGTTTGGGGGCTGATTTTGAGGTCTGGTTCAGGGAGTTTAAGATTTAGGGTTTAGGGTTTAGGGTTCAGGAGGCTGTGAATTCAGACTTTAGACAACATTACACACTGCGCATTTTTATCTCAGAAATAGACCGTTTCCACGCTGCACTCCAGAGGAGTGCACTTGTGGCTTGGTCCACCGGCAGGTTAACATGACCGCAACTGTTGGGGTTTGACGACGAGAACCTATGATTATTGTTGCTCTTGCTATACAGACTTCTTGTCTTGAGTTATGACAATCATGCTTATCGTGACTTTGATAAGGGCAGGTGGTTCTTCTTTATGTACAGTACCAACTCCATCAGTTTCTCTTTGGCGCAAAAAGATCCGACTTCTTTGCATCCTAACAAACCCCGGGTTCCTAACCAGGAGGCCTGAACAATCCTCAATGTTCCCACCTGTAGCTGTAGTAGTGTAATATACTATACCCCAAAGCCCGATTGTGATGATTCTCTTAAACCCTAAGCCCTGAACGCTAGACCCTAAACCCCCAACCCTAGACCCTAAACCTTACACCCTACTTATTCAGGACTCTACATCAGTATCGAAGCCTCAATAATTACCAATATTCTTCCTGAGGGCTCCTTACAGAAGTAAAGTATAAAGGAGCCCAAAACCCTATCCTAATTATTAAGGCCCCTGCATTAGCCTTCTGTGGAAGAAGGTCTTTTCTTAGCTGGAGCTGGGGGGGGGGGGGCTTTAGGGCTTTGGGGTTTAGGGATTGGGGGTTTCAGATTTCGGATTTAGGGTGTAGCACGTTCGCGTTAGATTGTTGCTAGTTTATGGACATGATAAGGGCATCTTGCTATGATTTCTTCACCGCTCTACATTTCGGGCCCTAAACTATAATCCCTAAACCCTAAACCTTAAGGGGCTCATCCGTTCTGACCGAAGACAGCGCAGAAGCACACGAAGCCTTCATCTGCTCAGGGACCCACTAACTCCCTAAGCCCTTTTGGGTTTAGGGGTTTTGGGGGTTCAGGGGTGTAGGGCTTTGGGGGTTCAGGGTTTCTTTAGGGTTTGGGGTTTAGGGCTTTGGGCTTCAGGGTCTTAGGGGTTTGGGGTTTCTTTAGGAGTTCAGGGTTTAGGGGTTCAGGGTTTGGGGCTTTTCGGTTTAGGGTTTTAGCTTTTTAGGGTTTCTTTAGGGGTTCAGGGTTTAGGGTCTTAGGGGTTTAGGGTTTATTTTTCGGGTTTAGGGGTTTGGGGTTTATGTTGTAGGGCTTTAGGTCTAGGGACCCTAAATTAGGCTCAAATCGGCAAACCGTTTGTCCAGGTGCGGCTACACTGGGGGATCCATGATCATCAGAAGGTATGTCGTCAGAACAGTAGCGAACGATGTGCTGGGAAGTGTCGTCACGACCGTCGTCCTCGACGCAGTCTTTCGTGTCGCCGTCCTCCTCCGCATGTTTAGCGTGTGCGAGCTCAGCCAGACCACAAGCTTCTGCGCCCTCAAAGCATGCTTGGCCGCTGCTGCTTTCCTGTGGCTTCAGCCTCACTGCCAGGGCAGTAGATGCTTGTTTAGGGCTGTCACAGGTATTTTTTTGGCGAGTTAGCCTTCCACACAAGTGGCTCAGCCTGGTAGCAACCACTGTCCCAATACTAAAGCCGTGGTGCTTGTAGTCTTAGGTGGGGTGGTCTGCTGGTGACAGTGTTAGTGGCCATAGTCAGCACCCCTAGCAGCACCCCCAAACCCTATACCCTAAACCCCTGAACCCTGAACCCCGAAACCCTAAACCCCCGAACCTCCAAACCCTCAACCCCAGACCCTGAACACGACTCAGCCCCAATACCACGCTAGCAAGAAGATGATTCGTGAGGGTTTAGGGTTTAGGATTTATGAAGTGAAGCCCTAAGCCTAAGTCTTTCCTGCTCAGCATTAGAGGTGTTCTTTTGAAGAATTTTAGATCCGAATGGCGAACTCCTGCGACGTATTGGCGAACTGTCAAGTCGTCCAGGACATTGTGAACGATGTGAGCGGACAGCATGCCGATGATGCCACATGGGTTTTGACGAGCAGCCAAGTGACAGTTTGGAATCTTCCGTAAAGTCTTCTTCTGCGTTTTCGCAGTCTGTACTTAATACAGTAGTTCAGTTGCACCTTAAAGCACAGATAGGTAAATCTAGGAGTTTAAATGCGGAGCTCGACGAGCCAGGCAGCTTTGTAATTTTGACTATGCAGAGCGGCTTTGGAATGTTGGAGCTGGGTTGTGCTGCACGGGGTCATGAAGTAAATATCATGCTCAAGAACGTCTACGACGTGGTCTTCGGCGCTGCTGCCTATTACCTGCTGGGATATGGTATTTCGTACGGTTATCCCTCGAATGCTTTCATGGGTCTGGGTGGGTTTATCATGGACACTTCCACCGACACCTTTGAGATGCAGGTGCAGTCGGGCCTTAGATTTAGCAGCTACATCTTTCAGTTTAGCTTCGCTGCCACCTCCACGACCATCGTCAGTGGTTGTCTGGCCATGCGCTGTCGCTTTGCAGTGTACTGCATGTACTCTTTCTACGCTGTAATTGTCTATGCCTTCGTGGCGCACTGGGTATGGTCCGAGAATGGCTGGCTGGCACAGATGGGCGTCCATGACTTCGCAGGCGGGGACCAATTTAGGGGCCTTAATAATTACCTAGTTTTTTTTGGGCTTCGGGGTCAGACGCCGCGACCCTGTCCCTCTGGCCGTAGCCCCCCTACTGTAAACCCTGAACCCTGAGCCCTACCCCCTAAGCCCTGCACCCTAAACCCTAAACCCTAAACCCAAACCCCTAAACCCTTAAAGGCTATTGCACTTAAAAAAAAACCCTAAGCCCTAAACCGTTACCTAAGCCCGCGAGCTGTGAAAACTTTCAGGAAGTGGCCCAGTGCACTTGTTGGGGGCAGTGAACGGGCTGCTCCTTCGGCCTTACAGCGAGGGTCCTAATCCCTATAGGGTTTAGGGTTTCGGGTTTTAGGGTTTAGGGTTTATTAAAGTTCTCGTGTGTAGGGTTTAGGGTTTTCCCTCAACCTTAAATCCTAAGCCGCAAACCCTACACTCTAAATCCCAAGCCCGAGGCCACCGAGGAGCTCGAGGATACCTTGCTAAACCCGAATCAAACTCAGCCAGAAAGGGAGCTGTTTGGTGTTCCTTCTTGTTCGTTGCCGCTTACCGCGCGTAAACGCTCCGCGGGACGAAGAAAGCGGTGGTCGACGTAGTCTAAAGCCCTAAACCCTCAACCCTAAAACTGTAGTAATATTACAGTGTGATGTCTGATTTGAATCCCGATGAAAATACTCCCTAAACCCTAAACCCTAAGCCCTCTTGCGGTTAGCATTGATAGAGTTGTAGGCCGAATCTTCAGCTTCGGGGCTCTTTGAGCCATGCACAGAGTCTTGGAAACTCGGGGTTTAGGGTTTAGGGTTTCGGTTTAGGGTTTCGGGTTTAGGGTTCAGGGGTTCAGGGAAGACGAGGTTCCTCAGCAGTACTCTTACACTATTTTCTTAGGGGTTAGTCCATTTTTGACGCGTTCAGGGTTTAGGGCTTGGGGTTTTCTGGTTTCGGGTTTCGAGCTCCGGGGATCGAATCTAATTCCTCGAGTAAGGCAGAAGCCCAAAACTGAAAGAGAACGCCCTTCGCTCCTAACCCCCTGCAGCCCCCTGAATGCCGAAACCCGAAATCCGAAACCCCAAACCCATATGCTAAACCCCAACACCTGAACCTTGAAATTGTAAACCCTAAACCCTAAACCCTAAACCCTAAACCCTAAACCCTGAACCCCAAAGACCCCAAACCCCCAAAAACCCGAAACGCAAGGATCGGCATCCTATGTATGGGGCCGAGACAAGGCCGGTTTGATGGTACGAGGCCTGGGGGGGTTTCGGGTTGAGGGTTTAGGATGGTTCGGGCTTTAGAGGTTTGGGTTTATAGGGTTATTAGGGTTTGGGGTTCAGGGTTTGAGGTTTAGGGTTTAGGGGTTAGGGGTCTGGGTTTGGGGTTTAGGGGTTAGGCTTTGGGGTTTAGAGGTTTGAAGTTTGGGTTTAGGGGTTTCGGGTTTAGGGTTTAGGGTTTCGGGGTTTGGGTTTGGGATTTCTGAAGAAGAGTCCTTTTCAGGGGTTTCAGGTTGTAAAGAGGCCTTGAAACAGACTCTGGGTAGGTTTCAGGGCATGAAAGAAACTTGAAAAGCGCCTGCACTATGGCAGCCCCGATACGGCTGCTTTGAATCCCTGGAGAAACCCTTATGACGGCCCTAAATAAACTCGGGCAAAACCTGCTAGAATAGAAGCCGTACAGCTATGAAGTGTTGCAGTTTTTGGGTTCAGGGTCGTGGGTTAAGGGGTTGTCATTGGTTCTGTTGGCCTTGAAGATGCAGATACGTTGCGGGGAAACCCAAACAGGAGATCTTCTTCGGTCCTTGAAGGATACAAGGAACCCAACCATTGGTTTGTTGTTTTTGTTTTTTTTCTATCGGGTTTAGTTTCTGCAGTCACGATGATTCTGCGTACGGCAGGGTTGTTGTCGGCTAGGGTTCTTATGGCCCTAAAGCCCAGAGGGCCCCTCTTAGACTAAGCTCCGATACAAAGTAGGTATTTTACAGGCATGTTGGTTTGGGGTACTCAAATCTCAAACTCTTGAAATGGGTGCTCCGATTCAGAGCGCTGGGACCGGCCCGTGCGCCTGAAGCCCTAAACTCCCAAACCCTAAACCCTAAACCTGAAGCCCTAAACCCCATTTTTCTGCTGCCAGGCCCGCGCAGGACTTTACACCTTCGTCTCCCCCAAGTATCCTGATCGGCCTCTTCATGCCACCTGTTCTCAGCCGATAGGGTTTACCAACTAGAGGGTTCTTCCAGAAGGCCCGGTGTGCCATATGGACATAAGAAATGATTTCTTCGATTGTGTAGGGCTTGATAAGGTGAGTTGGAGTATATCCCTCATCAGTTAGCAGAACCCTTGGCCATTTTGAGGTGATCACCAGTTAACCCATTAGACGATAGTTCGTATACTCCCCTCTACATCTCAACAACTATTTCACCACAACTTCCCCATTACCAAGACCAGTATAGGAATAACCAAATACCGTTCAAATACCCCATCCATATCCCCTAAGGTGCTATTATATCAAACCATATCAACCTTAGGCCGGTGATGCTTGCAGCAGCCAAGGCTGTGGTGGGGTTGGATCGGCTTCAACTGCGGTAGCTCCTTCGGCATCACCAACAACAAGTGGATCGTAGCCACAAGGGCCGGAGTCACTACCATCAACTCCACCGGAGGCGGTGGCATCGCCGTGACTGGGCGCAAGCCCGAACCCCAAACCACCCCAAACCCTAAACCTTAAACCTTTTCTTCAGGCCCAATCGCCGAGAGAGACCTCATAGAGATCCCTTACTGTCGAGATTTTCTGTGGTGTGAAGCCATGACGAAGAGAGCGTTGTGGCGACCGTCGTGAAGTGTTTTCTGCCTCGCATTTATCACAATGCGTGTCGTCCTCGTCCACCTGGATGGATAAAGGATAGAACGAAAGATAATTGGATAAGTAGGTAGGTAGGTAGTTCAGCTAGGTAGCTAGGTAGGTGAGCAGGTAGGTAGGCAGGCAGGTTGGAATGTAAGTAGGCAGCCAGCAAGAGGTAATAGTCGTCGTCGCCGCAGGAGTAGCGGGGATAGAATTTGCAGAAGAAGATCACCATCAGCCCTGAACCCTAAACCCTAACCCCAAACCCCAAATCCCAAACTAAACGCTAAATCCTCAACCCAAAACCCCCAACCTCCACCATCCTAAACCCTAAACCCGAAACTCTAGAGCTGAAACCCTCTCCCGATGCGAAAGTCGAGAGCCAGGCACTCATCTACACGAAACTCAAGAGCAGATGCCAGTACATCCGTGCGGAGGACGGTCTCTAGGGTGTAGGTTTTGAGGAGTTTAGGGGTTTTGGGTTTAAGGTTCAGAGGGGTTGGATGGTGGTGTTGCTCAATCCTTAGACAATCGCTTGAGTGTGGGATCTAGGGGCTTGGATTTCGGTTTTGTGGGCTACAGGGTTTTCGGACCAATCGCGCCTTGTCTTCTGCCAGTCTCGATTGTTTCTTGAGCTTCAAGAATAAGGGACCACACCCTAAACCGTTCGTTTTCGAAATTGGCCGCCTAATGTGCACCTTGAGTCTCGCTGAGCCTTGCACACACATTAGGACCCAGAAAATTTTGAGATCTCAGGTTTCTGATGTAGGGCCTAGGGGTCCAGGGCTAGCACTTTTTGTTTTCGGGTTTAGGAATCAGGGACTGGAGCTGGTACGGGTATCCTTGACCTTCGGAGCAATGCCCACGAACAACACCGTTTCAACCCGCGGCGGAACCCGAAGCCCCCAAATTGTAAACCAATAGGGGGGCTTGGATAAGTACTAAACTATTCTTACAATCCTTGTATTTTAACCCGAGAACCCTTATCTAATTATGCAGGCCCCCTATTAAGCTCCCAAGAGGAAGTGGCCAATGGCATCCTTGGTGCCCTTGTCGCGATCACCGCCCCCTGTGCCTGTGTCCACCCACCCGCCACTCGGATTCAGAAATAATTACGTGGTTGAGGATCCGAAAAACCCACCATCATCACCATCAAGATAGCCATCCTCCTCCTCCTCCTCATCATCATCATCGTCATCACCATCCTCACATCCTCATCCTCATGCTCATCCTCATCCTCATCCTCATCCTCATCCTCATCATCAGCATCATCTTCATCATCATTATCATCATCATCATCAGCACCATCATCATCATCATCATCATCATCATGGTCATCGTCATCGTCATCGTCATCGTCATCATCATCACATCATCATCATCATCATCATCATCATCATCATCATCATCACCATCACCATCATCATCATCATCACCATCCTCATCCTCATCCTCATCCTCATCCTCATCCTCATCCTCATCCTCATCCTCATCCTCATCCTCATCCTCATCCTCATCCTCATCCTCATCCTCATCATCAGCATCATCTTCTTCATCATCATTATCATCATCATCATCATCATCACCATCATCATCATCACCATCATAGTCCACAATGATTTCCATCATCACGATCATGATCAGCATCCTGGTTGCCATAAGTATCATCGACGCCACCTTCAACTGTCAACATCAGAAGCTTCGCGCATGCCAGCGTTCTTGAAGGCTGCTGTTGCTGTCGTTGTCGCTGTCTCTGTCGCGGTCGCGTCGCTCGCCGCTGCTGCTGCCTGGTTTTGGCGGTGATTTTGTTGTTGTCGTTGTCTTTCTCGTTCTAGTTCTCGTTGGCTTTCTGTTTCTCGTTCTAGTTCTCGTTCTCGTCGTCGTCGTCGTCGTGGCTGTTGCTGCTGCCGCTGTTGCTAAAGCTGTTGTTATGTTCGTGGCGATTGTGACGGTTGTGGTTGTTGCGGTGGCGGTTGTAGTGGTTGTGGTGGTTGTGTTGGTGCTGGCAGTGGGGTTGTGGTGCTGGTGCTGGTGCTGTTGGTTCTAGTGGTGGTGGTGGTGGTTGTGGTGGTGTGGTCGTGGTTGTTGTCGCCGCTATGAATCCCGTCTTGATGCTGCCAATTGTGATTCTTTTTGGCATTGTGATGGTGACGGTAATCATGATGGTGGCGATGCCGATGTTCTTGGTGATGACGATGGCAATGGTGATGCAAATCATGGGGCTGATGATGGTGACTCTGATGATGGCAGTGGTGGTGGTGGCGGCGGCGGTGGTGGGTGCTGGTGCTGGTGCTGGTGCTGTTGCTGGTGCTGGTGCTGGTGCTGGTGCTGGTGCTGGTGCTGGTGCTGGTGCTGGCGCTTGTTGTGTCGTCGGTCTTATAACCTGCTTCACGATGTTTTTATAAGTTTTCTCGCGTTCTCAAGTTCTGACAGGATGCGCCGATCATTGGATTCATCGGAGCCCTCGTTGCCTTGGCGACGAACGATCTGATTCACGGCTTCAGTTTGTTTCTCACAGTGCTAGCTTTCCATGACAAGGTTGGCACAGATAGTACACATGCCAGCTTTGTGTTGTGACACTTTATAGATTTAAGCTATCTTTTATTTCATCTGTTAGCACCGTTTTGAGGTTTGTCTTTTACCGTTATTTGTGACTATGGTCATGCCTATCTGTAGATTTTTCCATGCCTACAAAGAGACAAAATATTGTCACCATGACCGTGAAGACGACGACGCCAACTACAACTACCACCACTGCTGCTGCTATTATTACTACTACTGCTACGACTACGACTACTACTACTACTACTACTACTACTACTACTACTACTACCTACAACCTACAACCTACAACCTACAACCTACAACCTACTGCCTACTACCTACTACCTACTACCTACTGCCTACTACCCACTACCCTACTACCTACTACCCTACCAGCTACTAGCTACTAGCTACTAGCTACTAGCCACTAGCTACTACCTGCTACCTACTACCCACTACCTACTACTTACTGCCTACTGCCTACTGCCTACTGCCTACTACTCCTACTACTACTACTACTACTACTACTACTACTACTACTACTAAAAAAATACTACTACCACTCTACCACTGCTACTACTACCACTACTGCTACTACCACTGCGGCTTGTACCACCACTACCGTCGCAAACGACGACGACTACTACAACTACTCCTGCTGCTGCTGCTGCTGCTGCTGCGACTACGGCTACCACTACTGCTACTACCACTGCGGCTACTACCACCACTACCGTCACCAACGACGTCGTCGACGACGACTACTACTACTACTACTACTACTACTACTGCTCCTGCTGCTGCTGCTGCTACTCCT